GGGTTGAGGGTTTCGGGCTTTTAGAGTTTAGGGTTGAGGGTTTCGGGTTTTTAGAGTTTAGGGTTTAGGGTTGAGGGTTTCGGGGTTTTAGAGTTTAGGGTTGAGGGTTTCGGGCTTTTAGAGTTTAGGGTTGAGGGTTTCGGGGTTTTAGAGTTTAGGGTTGAGGGTTTCGGGTTTTTAGAGTTTAGGGTTGAGGGTTTCGGGCTTTTAGAGTTTAGGGTTGAGGGTTTCGGGTTTTTAGAGTTTAGGGTTTAGGGTTGAGGGCTTAAGGTTTACAGGGTCTGGCAGCCGGATGACCATTTCGCGCAGGATGCTCCGACAGCCACACAAGACCACAGGTGCGAAACCCCAAACCCTTCACAATGAGAATATGGTTTCGGGGGACTATAAGGGAATAGTCCATTAATAACCGAGACCAATACATCGAATCCCAGAGGCCTTGGAAAGGAAGTTGCGCCGCGCGCCTTGTCCAAACCTACCGAGAGTTTGGTCAGCTCCTTCGTAGAAAAAACGCAAATCTTAGAGTAAGTAGGTTGAAAGGTTAGCCGAAATGCAGATGATACAACTCAGGGTCTACAGTATGCGCTCCTAAAACCTGCACTGCTAAGTTACAGTGGTCTGAATGATGAGGAATCATATCCCATTATAGCTCCGGTATAACCACTGTAACAGACCCTAAGCTGCAACTCCTGAGGTGACGGCCAACAAAGGTGTTCGGAAGGACCAGAATGTGGACATCAGCGACGGACCTTGAAGACTAAACCCTAAACTTTACACCCCAAACCCCAAACCCCTAAACCCTAAACCCTAAACCCCGAAACCCTAAGCCCTAAACCCCTAAACCCTAAACCCCTAAACCCTAAACCCTAAACCCTGAACCCCAAACCCTAAAGAGGGTGTCGGGTTTAGGGCTTAGGGCTGGGAAGGTCTAGGGTTCAAGGTTCAGGGCTCGAGGTTAAGGCTTCGGAGGCTTACCTTAAGCTACCGTGACCTACTTTTTGTAGGCTCTTATTGTGAACCCTAAAATGGAATTTATGGGCACTTCTTGTAGGTTCTTATTATAAACCCAAGAATAGTATTTATGGGGACTCTACAAAAAGCTAGGTTTGAAGGTAAGGTTTAGTGGCTAAGAGCTTAGGGCTTGGAGGATTCAGACATTAGGGGCCAAAGCTATCCCGCTGGGGCCCTGGGTGCATATTGTACGGCAGCGGCCTAACCCCTACACCCGAAACCTCACTCGAGAATCAACCCTAAACCCTAGACCTTAAGCCCTATAATCGAGCCAACAGTTACTTGCAGCCCCAACGCACTTCAGTCCAAACTGCCATGCCCAAATACCGAAGCTTCAAAGCTCTCAACTCCAAAACCCTAAGCCATAAACACACACACACACATCCCTCGGCTCTTTCATTTTGTTGGGAGTTGGCGTAATGTAGTCGGAGCAGGAACATATATGTTTTCTATACTCAAACAAGAGGCCGAACAAAAATCATATCCAAACCCTAAGTCATGAACGATAAACGCGCAACTCCAGAGTGGGATGGCCTGCTGGTGCCGCTGCAGCGCCGGAGCATGCTTCCTGCTAGTCGTTTCTCAATTCGGGATTCAAGTTTTTTGGGCTGAGGGTATCTCTAAACCCTGGACCCTAAACCCTCAAAAGCCCCAGCAGAAAAGGCAGTCCAGGGGTCTTGGGTTGGGGCTTTGCGTTTTAGGGTTTAGGGTCCCGCTCCTTTAGAACACAGCACGAGAGACCCCAAACCCCAAAGCCCTTCTGGAACCCTTTTCAGGACACTTCCTACGGCTGATGATTTAGATCCTGCATTTCCCATAGTAAGGAATATACCCGAGTTCCCATAGTTTAGGGTCCCTAAGGTAATGTACCCCCGACCACTCAAGGAACCGCATCGAACCCTGTAAGGCGCCGTTCAAAGAAAATGCCAGGAACCCACTAGGAAACCACCTCGGAGACGACTGGCACGAAACTGGAGCGCTGCTCTTGAGACTCGCCTTAGCTGAGTGCCCACAGACTTCAAATTCAAAACCCTTGAAATGATGGAAATGCAGATGCACACTGAACTGCCCCGAACTCATACCAAGCATCCCTCTAAATTTATGGTATGTTCTTCAACAGAAAAGCCTTAAGCAGGCTAGGACTATGCCGCAATACCTACTTCTTTTGCAAGGAATATATGCCCTAAATTACGATAAGGATCTTGGAGTTCAAGGTATTCAAGTCCTTATAACACCATTATGGATTACATGTAGAACCTTTGTAAAAAGCACATCTTCACAAAATCCACTTAATTGAACGCTGTTCGGATCTCTGGTTACTGGGGCGGCTAGGTGCTCGGAGTTAGCTCGCTGGGCCCCTTTTCAGAAAGGGAAACGAAACAGGATCCGAACTTGAATGGGTCCCCTTCAACAGGGCGTCGGGTGTAGAGTCAAAACATAAATGAAACGAGCAAAACAAGTAGGCTACATAATCTTGGCCAAGTATTTAACCAAAATCTCAGACACCCAAAACAAAAACTAACACGCTTCATAACCACTGAACATTAGTTTTACAGTTTTTGGTTTTTACACCTATAGCAGCAAAATCCGAAACCCTATAAACCTTAAGCTCTAAACCCTAAACCTTAAACCCTAAACCCTCAACCCCAAACCCGAGCCCAGGTCTGGGGCAATCCTTGGGGCTCAGGGACTTTCTGCTGAAGTTTTTTCGGATCTCTTGGCGACCGGGCTTCTGGGCTTCGGGAAGGCTTGTAATGTGAGGGCCTTATATAATAATTTGAATAGGGTTTTTGGGGTATGTTATACTATGCTGTATACTATAGCTATAAAAAAGAAACCACAAAATAGTATAGAGAATTATTAAGCTCCCTATAGTAAGCTTCAAGGTTTCTGTAAGATTGTGGCATACGGTTTAATATTATCTTAGTATTAAGGGGTTGTTTGAAATGTTTAGAATGGGGCGTCAATGAGTAGTTGAGGGTCAAGGCAAATGGTCAAACGGTCTACTTACTTGTCCAGTATTCTCGGGGAACTTAAGGTCAACCTTTAAGGTAATATAGCTCGAAGGGGTCCTGCAAGGTTCTTGCAAACCTTAGGGCTTGGGTTGGAGGGTTTGCCGTGGAATGGCGCGCAGGTCTGTCTGTCGAAGGCTTTTCCTTCCTTCTCTCCCACCCCACGCCGGACAAGGCGGCCAAACCACCCAAGAGTACTCCCTTGGCAGGGCAGGGCAGGGCAAGGGCAA